ATATGGCAATGACTTGCAGCTGCTGCACCTCCGTGTCAGGATGTGGCTTGCTCATCTTGAGACCCAGGCTGAGGAACAGCACCAATCTGGGGGATGCTGTTCTCGTGGCGACCTTTGTCCTGAATTGGGCAAAGCCCAATCAAGTAAGGTAGCCAAGTCTGGCACCAGGTGGGAAATGTAACTTAGGGAGAGGCATTGCATAATCCTCTTACAGAGAGGGTTTGAACAATTTGGAACATTAATACAAGGTCCCACAGATAACATCACAACGTGATAAGAAAAGATTACTAAGAATTTAGTAATTCTAATTCAACTTACAGAATGACCAAGTCTATTATTATCAAAAAAAAGTCTAGATACTCAAATTCTCACTCATTCCTTCTCTATCCACAAGCCTTCAATGCCTGGGGAGCAGCCATATCCTCAGATAAGGGTTGTTGTCAACACCCATGCACACATCATTCACCTACGCTGAGAACTATTACATGTCTATCATGGAAGAGTGGAAAGCTGAACTGAGTCATTACTGACCAGATGTAGGGCAAGACACAGCATGCTACAAGTGAGAGGTAGAAAACGATTCAAAGTTGATACCAAAGGAAAATCCCATAGTTACCAGAACTTCTGAGCAAAAGAGGTGTGGCTGGGGCAAAGGCAATTGTTTTCATCAGTGTGCTCTGTGGGTCTGTGGGGACAGCTGTGGCTGCTTCTGACCACATTGCCAGACCCTGTGGTGCCTGTGCTGTGATTTTTGTAGATGAGCCAATAACTTGCTTTTTATTTTTAAATATGCATAAAAATTATAGTGTGCAAGTGTTCAAAGGCTGAGAACCATTGCTCTTGCTAAGCTAATCCTTATTCTGCATTGGGTAACTACCCACTGTTTAAAATCCTGTGCACCCTTTGATTTTCTCTAATTTTTACAAAACTTCTCCTGGTCTCAAACCACTTGCTTGCCATAAGTTTTGATTTCTGGACTTCTCTTCTCAGGGGATAATTGTTACAGCGTTGGTATATTCAGAGAGCCGAGGTTATTCACAGAGCAACCCATCCACAGAGTAATCCACCTGGCTGAATGTGGGAATCAAACCCAGGGTACCTATGTCATCCATGTCTTCCATTACCAAAGTCTTGGAGATTGGTGAAATTTAGGTTATCATCTGGAAATGAGCGCATCCTTGGATAGCTGTAAGCTAGGTCCTCAGGATCCCTTAAATGTATCAGTAGTCTTGGTGCCAGTAACAGAACCAGTGGACTTGGCAGGCAGCTGAGGCACTTTTGAGGACCGGAGAATGTAGAGATGCCAACTATCCTCAGGCTGCTTTGAATCCTATGGATTCTTTCAAATCCTTTCCAATGGCTTCCATTCCCCATGATGAGCATCCTAAATGAGGTGGGGATTGGAGAGATCTGGAAAGATGGGGCAGTTTACACAATGGTAACTTCTAAGAGTCAGGATTTACTGAGAAGAGGCTCTGGAACATAGAGAGGCTGGGCAATTCATCCCTGGGCCTGAGTGTCCCTGAGATCATAGCCTGAGCGCCAGATGCAGCCCAGTGCTGAACTGTGCACAAGCATAAGATTTTAAGGCGACCCTAACATTGACACAGACAATATTTGTTTGAGTCACTGAAATATGAGTAATTGATACAGGTCATGCTTATTACTGCACAAAATCTATGATAGGATCTTGCTTTGGTTTTGGTGTTGGAGTTCAAGTAAAATGCCAGTGTGCTGGCCACTATTCTGAGTTATTGTAAAGGTATTTTGCACATTATTATACTTTGGGGGAACATACAGCACTTAGAGAACTACAGTCAGGCCTCTGAAGTGGCTGAATTCAGTTATTAGCCAGTGTTTTACAGTGAAAATGCCAAATCCTTCCGTTTTTGAAGACAACACATTGCTTTTCTGTTTATGTTGTGCAATTAGAAAGCTTAGAAATGGATAGCTTCTATTTGGAGACACTTGACTTTAAAAACCAAAGCACTCTTGAAGAAATAGGTAGTTGTTAGAGAAAAAACTAGGACTTAGAAGATGGGTCTGGAGAATCTCATGGTACTGAGAGTAGAAACTGTTCAGAAAGTACCAGAGATATGGTATAGCTCAGGAGCCCACACAAATAAGCTTAGCCTGCCCAAAGATGGGCACCACCAAAATAACAGCAAAGGGTTGAAACATATGTAATACGTTTAAATCCAGGAGTTTATAATGTGGCATAGAAAAAAAAAAAACCCACACAATTCACTGAACACCTTTGAATGTAGGTGACCAATTCGTTTTTTTGAAAAGTAAGAAGAATTACTTACACATGTGTCCTTGCCTTTCTGGATAAACTGTCTCAGGTAACCAAAAATTGATAAGAAAATTAGGTCTTTATATAAGTATTCCAGAAATGCATGAAGAAATCCCGACAAAACGAGAATACTATCATCCTGCAACCACTGATGAGCTCATCCATCCAGGCAGTGATCGGCAATGGCAGTGACATCCCCAAAGAGACTTGCAAGACATGAAGTATCTCTAACAAAACTGCGCTGAGCCCTTAGAACAAGGCTAGCCAGAAATATCCAACCTCAACTGATTAAACCCTAGCTCTCACCACCAAGTTACAGGGGAAGACAGGAACATGCTACATCCTAAGGGATGTAATCAACAAACTGTAGCCCGAGGAAACTTCTATAGAAATCCAACCCCCACCCCCACCCCCACCCCTGATTCTTCATGTTCAAATCACTCAGAACCAAAAAAGAGCAGGAACCTATGGATTAAAGAAACTGGAAGAGATATTCCAACCACCTTAATATACAAACTTCATGAGGAGCCCAAGGCACCAAGGAATCTGTAAAACATTCCAAGACCATCAGGGAATGGCAACACTGAAGTATTTGATATTATGGGTGACTTACTGTTGGAACAATGGCACTGGGGTTATCTTTGTATTTTATATATCACTGCCCTCCTGATTTGCTCTCACCACAGCTGTCAGACCTCATAGCTGGATCACAGTTCTGATACTTGTACTGAAATCTGAAAGTCAAACTGAAATATTTTGCTGTTCACTCAGCAGTGTCCTGAGGATGGTGTCCATGTCCTCCCAGAATTAAGTAAGCATGTGTGTGTTTCTGTCAGAGGACAACATCACAAGACGCAATGGCAGGATGGCTGGAATGTGTTTCTGAATCAGGAGGTGGAGGAGGAACACAGGATTGGTCAGGAGCTGGAAATTGCTGGATCTGGGTGGTGGAGATGTGTTAAACTGTGTTCTTTATTTTTTAACATGTTTGAAATTTCACATGTTAAGATTTTTTTTTGGAGAAAAAATACGAATAAAGTGAAAACTCATTGGAGTAACAAAATTAGATAATCAGCAAACAAAAACCCAACACTCAGTTTTGGTAACAAAACACCAACCTCGGTAGCAAGGTACTACAGTGAACTCCCTAGGACCGTGTCTGACTTGAACCTGGCCTTCTGAAGACCCTCTGTCTAATGGTTTCAAACTGGAGCTACCAGGGCTTGGCAGCCAAGGGTCCCCAGTGAGTTCATGGTCTCTTAGAAGCACCTTTATGCAGAACACTGAGTTACCTCCCCGTTGGAATGATCTCCAAGGTGCTCCTGAGCTGGGTGCCTGGTCGGGGTTCTATGGGAGCAGCACTGAAGCTGAGCCCCAGAGGATACAAACAGAAGGTTCTTCCGGGTCAGACTGGTCTCTTGGTGACAGCCACAGTGACACATGCAATATATTATCTCAGAAGTCAGTGCTTACCTGTTGTTTCTATATGCTTATCACCCTTGACCTAGATCTGACATTTGCTCACCTCTGGGACTACATGTGCAGTATCTTCAGGTTGTTGCTTACTGAATAGCAAAAACATCCCCTTGACCATTAAAACGGCATAGACATGATCATAGCTTTGATCTCACTGTGAGGACCTGCAAGCCAGGAGAGTTGTGGAATATTTCTTTTACTTAAAGGAATTCTCAGCTTGTATGTGCACACTCAGATAAGGACAATGACCAGCTAGTCCCACTGGTTGGAAAATGAATCGATTTTGCACACACTTGTGTATCTGTGGACCCAGAGGTTCCTCATTAACCCCCGTGCAACAGTGACAACTGGCCAGTGGAAACCTTTGTAAGCACAGCAACTCCTGCACTCCACTTCACGCAAGAAGGAAGGGAGAAGACAGAAATCCAGATACTTCCCCAAGTTCTGGGGAACCTGGGAAGGGATGGTAAAGCCAACAAAGACTCTTATTAGCACGTTTCTACTGAAACAAACTGAATACTACGAAGAAAGCAATGTCAGCAGCCTAATATTCTTCCAGTTTTAAATCAAGATTTACGTCTTCCCCAAATTCGGGCTTAGTATTCTTCTTATAATAATCTTTCAGTACTCTGCATTTACTTAGCCTTTGCAGCTAAAGTGAGGTCACATATCTCTTTACATGCTCTTCTCCAATTACTCGAAGGTAGCCTCAGCCATGTGTGTTATATCTCAACTGCATTTCACATCTTCCCAAGGAAAAAGAATGAGCTTTTAATTTTCCCCCATTCCTTTCAGGGCAGGGATAAAGAGAAACCCAAAAAATATTTGCTAGAGAAAGGGAAGAATGGAGGGAGAAAAAAAAGGTAGGAAGGAAGATGAAAATAAAGCTGAAATATCACATGATTGTTTGAGCTCTGGTTTGGACAAATACTATTCCCAAGACTAAATTTAAAAACAAAACATTCTCTAAATTGAATGTCAAGGAGAGATGTGCAATTTGTGCCATCAAGATGAATCAGTGAATAGGGTGAGGGCTACATTAAATAATGCATAATGATTCAAGTAGCTTGGTGCAACTATTAAAATAAGGACTTGAATGATCAATTAGCCTCATCTAAGAATGATTTAGTCATATTTTTAGAATACACATATGATTTTAAGAAGCAAAATTGAGTATATAAGGACAAATTAATTCACTATATTTGTTACTAGTAATAAATAAAATTACCTCTGAATAATTTGGTGAGAGATATTTCCCATTGCATTTAGCAATGTTCCTCAGGATTTTTAAGGCTTTGTCTCCTTTTTTCCGAGTGATCAGCCAGCGGGGAGATTCAGGGACCACCCTGGCAAAGAAGGAGGTTTTCTGAGTTACAAATTTCAAAATCTGAAAGTTTATGACTTCAGGTTTTCTATTAGAATGGGTTTTGCAATTAGGTACAAGTTGAGGCAATTCTCAGCTAATAATAAGCTATCTAAAACATAGAGATAATTTTGGCAAATGTATAATGAATGGAAAACACACTAACTTGATTAATGGATCACTGCTCATGAAAATCAATATTGCATTGCTCTTAAAAATAGTCCATCACAGTATCCTTGATGCATATTTGAGAAGAACTTTGATTTAGTAAGCACTTAGAAAAGGTTAACAACTTGATTTATATAAGCTGATTTGTCCATATTTTAAAGTTAAATGAGAGGAATGATTAAAATATATTCATGCTAATAAGCATCAAGTGCATACACCTGTGGTTTCTTGATAATTTAATTTTCTGATGTTCTTAACATTTTCTATTCCTCAGAGAATTCCCAAGTAAGGCTAATTTGCTTAACAGAGCATACAGAGAAGCAAACTGATTTCACTGCATTTAATCTGCATGTTGAAATACTGGGCAGATGTAGCTGTTGCCTTATGGTTTTCATTAAGATATCGAAAAGCGAAGAAAACATATAATGCAAAACTCTATTTAGAACTTTCTGTTTTGGCATTTTATTATTTTCGGTGATAACTATGAGACAAATCATTAATAAGTTATCTGTTTAAATTCTCAAGTTATCTAAAAATTCTCAAAGCCCATAGCCATTCTGAAGATGCTGGACAATTTCCCTGCTACTAGCATTTTTTGTGTTGGTCTGGATTCTACATTTCCTTGGGGTAAGTGTAAGCATGATAATGACCAAAACAACATTACCAGTAATAAAGGAGGAAGAGAAAGTTGGGCAGCGTAATGGCTAGCTGGATCCCTTGCCAATTGGGGATAAAGTAGGCAATTCCAGGGAGAATTATGATTCCAAGGGTGAAGAACATTTGAATCACTATTCCCACAATCCTCCTTTGTTTTGAACCTACTATTTCTGTCACTGAGGGAAAACAAACACAAGAGGTTAGGGAAGCTCAAGATCAGCTCCAAAATAAACAAGCAAAAAGACGTTACACCTGTTACACCCATCAGCACTGCCGGAGCGCTCCAGAACTCAAGGACCCGAGGCTTCCATGTTTTCTGAAACGATAGAGACGCTCTTTCCAGGACCACATTTGCTCTCCTCTCCCTCTGTTCTCTGCCACCTTCCTCTTAATCACCCAGCCCAGCACCCTACTGGGCATGGGGGTGGGGAACACAAAGAATATAGCATTCGGCTTTAGGAAAGCCCCAATTGTTTTGAAAAGTAAATGCTAATTATCAAAACATAAGTATACTAAACTGGATAAATTTTACCACTGTATCTCTAAAAAATTTGCCAATTACAGTCCCTTAGGACAATCATTATGAACATGAATTCCATAAATAATTTTCTATTATAAATAAATTTCTATTATTTATTTTCTATTATTTATTTATTTCTATTATTAAGAGATAGTTTCTATTAAATGATAATAATTCTCTCCCCAGTGTTGGACTTTTCATTTCTGTGATATTTCCCTAAATTTTTCTGGTAGACTCCCGCCCTCCTCTGCCCCTTCCCACTCTGGGTCTCTTCTATTCATCTCCTGGGACAAGTTACCCTAAGACCACAGCTTTGAACATTCACAAAGGCCTGGGTCTATTTCAAAATGTCTCAGATTTCAAAGTTACCCTTTCTGCTTCCGCCAGTGACGACTGATCCCTCTAGCACTCTCTCTTTTTTCCACCTATAACAACGTCTTCAAAAGGTCTCCAGAGTGGGCACAGGTAGACTATAACAACGTCTTCAAAAGGTCTCCAGAGTGGGCACAGGTAGTTACCCAGTGCCTGGGTAACAGGTAGCAGTCACCAGAGAGAGGAAGCCCAAATCTGCAGGGACAATCTAAGAGGAACGTTCTCATTTCCTCGGGCACACATCCACTGTGACTTGAAGTAAGTGGCTGGTCCTGGACTAGGAGGAGAGTCAGAAGGCATCGAGGACACTTCCAAGTAATGTGGCAGAGTCAGACCTTCTCTCACGCCCAGAAGGTCTGACTTTCTAGTTAGGGAGGATAGCAAAGGCCACAAATAGGCTCCTCATTTTTAGGATAGATCTCCCACGTGGTAAAGAGTTCTCTATTTATATGGAAGGAGAGTTAAAGACATGATATCTGAGAATACAGGAAAGTAACCTTGAACTATAGCACAGAATATGCTACACAGAAAATACTTTGAACATGTTGTTTCAAAAAGAAACTGAAATTTTTGTAGAAATCAACTTCTAAAACAGCAAAGCTAGAACACATGTGATAACCACCATGGGAGTGGTCCAGAGTGGCTCAGCGGGGGTCTTATGGCATTTTGTATTTGGTTCCCAAAATGAAGGGGCGTGTCAGTTGCTACAGCAGCCAGAATCCTTCCCAGCCCCCAGTTTGTAGAAACAATGGCAGTAGCCGAAAGGAAACCTGTCCTTGCTGTGAATGGACGTGGAGGAGGGCCACCACAGGCACTTCTTGGCCATCTGACCTTAGCTCCCCAACCGGGAAGAGGGCGCAGGAGGTCTTACCGATCACATAGGAAGTCATCCACGTCCCCTTTCCAAACACACCTTGCAGGAAGCGGAAGATCACAAACACAGGGAAATTTGGTGCAAATGCTACCACAACACCGGTGACGCCCACGCCGAAGCAGGATATTAAGTAAATGACTGTTCTGCCGTACCTTTTTGAGAAAGAGAGAGAAGAGAACACCTTACACATGGTCTTTCACATGATGGGGGAGGGGGTATCATTTTAGAGATGCTGAAAGAAGTGGTGGGTACAGAAAATGTGTCCTGCGTCACTTCTCTGTTGAAAGGTAGAAGATGGTGGGGAAGTTTCATTCTGTGGCAGGGCAAACCAGCACGGGCCTCTGAAGTGGTATCCCAGCATTAAAGCATGCAATGGCAGTTTCCCCAATAAAACTGTCTCTCTGATGTGGCTGCTTCACAGATGGTCTCCCTGGTGGCCCAAATGTGACACTTCCCAGCAGGTTGTGAATGGGAGTCCCAGAGAGAAAGGGGTAGGGAAAGGGTTAGCAGGAGTGGCAGGAGCATCTCAGCCGGCGGCCTCCTTTTGAATCTTGCCTCCACTGGTGACCGGTCACATGACCGGGGCGAGTTCCTGAGCTCTCTAAATGCAGGGTTCCCGGTTCCCGTGCTTGCTCTTTAATCCCCCTTCCACCTTTTCCAGAGTGCGATGGCGGTGTGAAATGAGATGCAGATGTGAAGGCAGTTTTCAAACTCTGGAGCTCACAGCTGATGTGAGTTTACAATTTTATTTTCACCCATTTTGCAGTTATTATTAAATAGCTCAGGAAAAAGGAGCAGGGCTCGGTACACAATATTCCCAGGGTCTGCAGTTAATTTGGGCTCAGTTGTGTCAAACATTTGGCTGGGTGAGAAGTTGGTTCTTAATGACCTGGAAGAAATTTCATTAGATGACATGTTTTCCTCCACAGAAATCCCCACGAAATTCCCACATAGTGCATCTTGCTTGAGCCGGCAGAGAAGAGATGGAAGTAAACCTTGGCTTATGTTGATTTTTTTTTAAAAAAAGTGACTTTAGTTGTTAGAGCAGTTTTAGATTCACAGCAAAACATCTGTTCCTTTGCTAGGATGGATGAGCCTGTGCTACGGTTTAGATATGTGATGTCCCCCAAAAGCTCGACTGTAAGACAGTGCGAGAAAGTGTAGAGGTGAAATGTTTAGATATGAGGGTTGTAACCTAATCAATAGATTGATTCGCTGATATGGATTAGTGTGGCTGGAGGAGGTGGGTCACTGGGGACATGTCTTTGGGGTTTATACTTTGTCCCTGGTGAGCACAGTGCTTTCTCTCTGCTTGCACTTGCTATGTCCCGAGTTGCTTTCCTCTGCCACGTCCTTCCATCTCACTCAGGCCCAGAGCTACGGAGCTGGCCAACCATGGACCAAACCTCTGAAACTGGAGCCAAATAAAATTCCCCTCTAATTGTTCTTTCCAGTCTTTGGGGTCATGGCAATGAAGCAGCTGACTAAAACAGTCTGCAAGTGACACATCATCATAAACAGTCATCATAAACATCATCATGAACATTAAGGTTCACTCATGGTGTCTCCTGTGCTAAGGATTTAGAAAAATGTATAATGATATGTTTCCACCATTGCAATATCATACAGAATAATGGCACTGCTCTAAAATAAGTTTTATAGTTTTGTGTTACACGGGTAGGTCTGTGATCCTTTTTCAATTAATTTTGCTGAGGGTGTGAGGTCTGGATCTACATACATTCATCTGCATACAGATGTCCAATGGTTCTAACACCATTTATTAACAAGTATGTCTTTGCTTTTTTGTCAAAGATGGGTTGACAACGTTTATACTTCTGGGCTCTCTTCTGCTTCTGTGACCTATGTGTCACTTGTCTATTAGTTCACCAATATCACAGATTTTGGTCCATGGTAGCTTCATCATATGTCTTGAAGTTGGGTAGTGTCAGTCCTAACTTTGTTCTTCTCACTATAGTGTTGGTGATGCTGGTGTTTCTGCATCTCCGCATAAACTAAGGATCAGTCTGCTGTATCCACAAAATATCTTACTGGGATTTGGGTTGGGATTGTATTTAATACATAGATCAAATTGGGAAGAACTGATATCTTGACAACACTGAATCTTCCTATCTGTGAACTTGGAATGACTATTTATTTATTTAGTTCCCTTTTGATTTCTTTCATCAGAGTCTTATAGGTTTCCTTATATAAATCTTATATGTATACATTTATTATATTTATACCTAAGTATTTCATTTTGTGGAATAATGTAAACAGTATTTTGTTTTTAAACTCAATTTCACTTGTACATATCTGATATATCACAAAGCAATTGGCTTTTGTGTATTAACCTTATATCATGCAACATTGCAATAATCACTTGTTAGTTTTAGGAGTTTTATTGTTGTTGGTGATTATTATAATTCTTTAGGATTTTCCATATAGACAATCATGTCATTTATAAACAAAGACAATTTTATCCGTTCTTTCTGAATCAGTATATCTTTCATTTGTTTTTCCTGCCTTATTGCATTAGCCAAGAAGAGGAGTGGTGAGAAGGCACATCCTGACTTTGTTCCTGATTTTAATAGGAAAAGCATCTAGTTTCTCATCATTAACTATAATGTTAGCCATGAGGGGTTTTGGTAGAAATCATAGAATTGAGGAAGTACCCCTTTATTTCTAATTTACTGAGATTTTTTTTTATGATGAATGAGAGATGGTTTTTGTCAAATGCCTTGTTTTGCATTAATATGATTGTGCATTTTTTTCTTTAGCCTTTTGATGTAATGGATTACATTAATTTATTTTTTTGATTTCTAATTTGTATTATTTCCTTTCTCCTCTATTTGCTTCAGATTCAATTTGCTCTTCTTTTTCAAGTTTCTTGACAGAAGCTTAGGTTATTTATTTTAGTTATATCTTCTTTTCTAGTAGATGTACCAATGCTATAAATTTTCTTCTAAGCATTGTTTTTTTAGAATCTGCAAAATTTGATAAGTTGTGTTTCATTTTCATTTTGTTCAAGATACTTTTAAACTTTTTCTTGATGATTTTTCTTTGACTCATTTGTAGTTAGAAGTATGATGTTGACTCTCCAAGTATTCTGGAGTTTCACAGCCTTCTGTTACTAATTTCTACCTTAATTCCACTGTGATCTGAAAGCAGACATAATATGAAATCTATTCCTTTAAATTTGATAAAGTGGTTCTCATGGCCCAGAACAGGATCTATCTTGGTGAATGCTTCATGTAAGTTTGAGAAAAATGTGTGCTTTGCTCCTGTTGGATGAAGTACTCTATAGACGTCAATTACATCCACTTGATTGATGGTACCGTGGAGTTCTGATACATACTAGTGATTTTCTGATGGTTGGACTTTACATTTTTTGATAAAGGGTGTTAAAGTCTATCAATTTTTGCCCTCTCTGTTTTGATGCTCTGTTGCTGGGCATATATGTGTCAGGACGGCTGTGCTTTTGGAGAATTGACCCTTTTATGGTTATGAAAGACCCCTCTCTCTATCTGATAAATTTCCTTGTTCTGAAGTTTGCTGTCTGATATTACCATAGCAATTCCCATTTTCCCCTTGTTAGGGTTAGTATGGTTTATTGTTAGAGTCTGTAAACAAGTCTGGATGGCGCCTGGCATTTTGCCAGAGGGAGTGGTTTGTGAGGCAGCGCCAGCGAGCCATTAAGTGTGGAGATTTCTTATTGGTTGACTGCTGTATCTATTTTATGTTAATTAAGATAAGCTGTGTGGAAGGTATAAATACCTCTGTTGTCCTACAATAAACGGCTCCCACTCCAGCTGTATCAATCTACACAAGTTGTTCGTCACCTCCCAGTTATTTTGCTGCAGCCGGACTGCGGCAGTTTATCTTTCTGCATCCATTTACTTTTCATCTATATGTGACTTTAAAGTTGGTTTCTTGTGGACAATATAGAGTCAGGTATTGGTTTGTTTGTTTGTTTTGGGTACCACGGATTGAGCCCAGGGATTGAACCACCAAGCCTCATCCCCAACCCTTTTTAAAAATATTTTTTTAGTTGTAGATGGACACAGTACCTTTATTTATTCATTTATTTTTATGTGGTGCTGAGGATCAAACCCACTGCCTCACATGTGGGAGGCAAGCACTCTACCACTGAGCTTCAGCCCCAGCTGCCCCCAACCCTTTTAAAAATATTTTATTAGAGACAGGGTCTTGCTGAGTTGCTTGGGCCTCACTAAGTTGCTGAGGCTGGCTTTGAACTCATAATCCTCCTGCCTTAGCCTCCCGAGTCTCTGGAATTACAGGCATACACTACCATGCCCAGCCAGGTATTGCTTTTTGATCCTCTTTGAAAATCTCTAACTTTTAATTGATGGCTTTAGATCATTTCGAGTAATTGTGGATATAGTTGGATTGATATCTACCAGATTTGTTCCTATTTTCTTTGTTCCTATTTTTTTTCTGTAATTTTTCTGCCTTTTTAGTTGAGCACTTTATATTATTCCATTTTCTCTTCTTTCTTAGTTTTTCAATTATATTTATTTTTTAAACATTTTTAATGATTATAGTTAGGGCAAGGGTTAGGGTTAAGTTTTCAATATACACTTACAATGAATCCAAATCTACTTTCAAGCCACACTAGACCATTTCATTGCTAAAGCAAATACCTTATAATAACAAAATAATTCTTATTCCTCTCTCCTTTCCCCTGTATAATTGATGTCACTTACTTTACTTATACATAAACATAAATAAGCATATACATATGTATAATATATGATAAATATATAAGCACATGATCAATTGTATTGTTATTGTTTTGAATAAATTGTTTTTTATTAGATCAATTGAGAATAAAAATTTATTTTGCCTTCACTTATTGCTTCTACAATACTCTTCCTTTCTTTTTGTAGCCCTGAGTTTCTGAACTGTATCATTTTTCTTTCACTTTAAAGAACTTTTAACATTTCTCACAAGGGAAGTCTACTAGCAACAAATTCTTTCAGTTTTCATTTGTCTAAGAGAGTATTTCTTGTTCACTTTTGAAGGATAGTTTTTTGCAGAGTACAGAATTCTAGGGTTGAAAGCTTTTTTCCTCCCAACATTTTAAATATTTCACTGCATTCTCTTCTTGCTTGCAGTTTCTAAGAAGTGTTATGGGTTGAATCCTAGGTACCCCCACAGGCTCATGTGCTGAAGTCTGACTTGTTCCCCTGCTGGTGGTGCTTCTGAGAGGTGGTGGAACCGTTGGGAGGGAGGTGGAGCCTAGTGGAAGGAAGTTAGATCATTGGGATGTGTCCTTGAAGGGCATGTTGAGACCCTAGCTCATTCTTTCCTTCCTCTTTTTGCTTTTTAGCCACCATAAGGTGAGCAGTTTCCTCTGCCATGGACTTTACTCTATGATGTATGACTTGCCTTAGGCCCCAAAGCAAATAGGATCAAGTGACCATAGACTGAAACCTCTGAAACCGTTAGCCAAAATAAACCTTTCCTCCTTTTAAGTTGTTTTATCTCATGTGTTTTGTCACAGTGACAGAAAGCTGACAACACAGGAAGTTGAATGTAAGTTTTGTCTTTGCTCCTCCTCTATAGTAAGGTGTCCTTCTCCTCTGACTTTCTTCAGGATTTTTTTCCATATCTTTATTCCCTGTGGTTTGAAGGTGATATACCTCTGTATGCAATTGTGGGGGCAATCACTGCTTGGCATTATCTGAGCGTGCTGTATCTACACATTTGGGGAAATTCTTCGTCATTACGGTTTCAAATATTTCTCTAGTTCCCTTTCTCTTCTCCTTTTGGCATTCTCATGCATACATCTTTCCTTCTGTAGCTATCTCACAGTTATTGAATATCAGGCTCTGTTTTATTCCAGTCTTTTTTGCTCTTTGCTTTTCTGATTTGTGTCCTCTACTGAAGTAGTCTCTTGGAGATTCTTTGCTCAGCCATGCCAATCAACTAATAAGTCCAATGAAGGCATTCTTTATTTCTGTCTGACCCCTCGCATTTCTTTTTGGTTCTTAGAAGTTCCAGCTCTATTAAACTGCCCGTCTGTTTTCCACACTGTCTGCTTTTCGAGTCCTGGGCATTTCTAGTTGATGATTCCAACATCCTTACCATGTCTGCTCCTGGTTCTGATGCTTGCTGTCTGTTTTCAAGCTGGTTTTATTGTTGTTTTGGTTTGGTTTTGCTTTTTTGGCTTTTAGTAAGCCTTTTAATTTTTTCTTGATAGCCGGGCAGGATATACTGAGTAAAAGCAACAGCTATAAATAGGCTGTGGGGATATGGCAGCGCGGTGTCAGGGAGGGGAGTGTTCATAGTCCCACAAGGGCTCTGTCTTTCAGTGAGCCTCTGGACTTTGACCATCACTAATGTTTCTCGTCTCTTCCTCCCCTTACTTGGATAGGATAGCCAGGGTGGGCTGGACTGGGGGGATTTCCTCCTGCTGCATGGCAGGCTAGCACCGACTGGAGCTGGGCATTTTCCTTCCCCAGGCATTTAGGTTCTGCTAACCCCCAGCAGGTGAGGTTCTAGTTGGCTAGTTTCCCTGAGGGTGGGCTGTTGGGAGCAGAGTGCTCCCACATGTTTCTGTGTGGTCCTCCCCCTCCTCTCATCCCTCCAGGTGGAAGTGTGAGGGCCCGGGAGAGCTCCAGGACACACATAAGTGTGTCCCCCACCTGTCACGGGCCCCTGGAGTTAAGTCTCAAACCCTGAGCCTCAATTCAGGTCAGCCTTCCTGCCAGAGCTCCGGCACCCCCGTGGTTTCTGCTCAGGAGTATTTCTGTCTCTCCAATTCGGGGGCCTGAAGTTTACTCTCTGATTTCGACTTTCTTACAGCTCCATGAAGACTGCTGATTTTCCAGTTTGTCCAACTTATACTTGTTAGACTTTGTGACAACTTCTAAGCCCGTTCTATGCTGAGCTGGAAACTGGGAGTTCAATCTAGATTTTTAAATTCACTCTCTGACCCACCCCATGTGTCTGCTCATAAATGTATGGCCTATTAAATTACCCCCTGCCCCTTCACTCAAGGATATGAATCACAAGCACATATGCATGTATTGCATGATATTGCTGTAAAAGGTTGTCACCTCGGCACCTACCTGTCTGCTGCATAGCCTAAGGTGAATGCCCCAGCCAGGAAGCCAAGGTTTAAGATGGCTTGGGTGAGGTCCAACATCCATGCATTGACACAGACAAGGTCAAACTGGGAAAATAAAGAAAACACACATGGAGACAATCAGGGAGGTTAATCTTTAGAGCATCTTATCTCCTGTTAAACATTTTTGCTACTCTACTCCTTAAATAAAATTTGCAAATGAATCACATGCATATTTTATACCAACATATCAATAATTTATTTGTTTATATAACTTATCAAGGATATAATTTCTAGTATACTATAAATATTGATTTCTAAAATAACATTGTTGTTACAGCCCTCTTTTTAGTGTATCCAATAGTACTTAAATGGTTACTCACCAGCATCCAACGGAAATTAGTTGACAGTCTAAAATTCAACATGGATCTTTTTTCTCTTTGAATGATTATTTTTATTTCCACATGCTATTATCTTAATATGTCATTTATATAGAAAAATTTTTATTGATTACCAGACTTCTTTGTGCAATAAATTTTACATGGATATAAAATTTGAGTTTCAAAAATTTCCTGCTATTAAAAAGTCTCGAAATATTAGAATTTTTTCAGACCATAATTGGAAAAACATAAGATGTTGTGGATTTTGAAAAATAATTATTACACAAAAGTAAAGTTTTGTTGTAAATGTACTTGTACATTTTCGGTAGAATGTCAGGAAGGGTGGCTTCTCCCATCAGGTCTTATACTCTGTGGATGAACGTGTCTTATCACTAGAACATCAGTCCTTCTCCTGTGTTTCGTTTTTATAATCTGTGGTGCAAGAAAACTTGTGTGTGGAAAGACCCTCATGGGAATGGAGAGTGTTTACACGCACATGAGGGCACACATTTCCCAGACTCCTTTGCGGCAGGGCTCTGTGTAGGCTGGTGACAGCTCAGTGTCACTCAGTTCTTTGACCTTCCCAGTCTTGCGCCAAGATTCACATCCTGATCTATCATCTAAATTATTTTTTTTATTCTCTAGTGGCCAGTTTTCATACAATTTTACTGAAAAAAAAAATGGAAACCACCCAGATTACAAAAAGTTATTTAATGCAGTCACTAGCTACTTTACTTCTTAACCACTTTCTTAATATCAAAACCAGTGTTTTGGATTGTCCCAGGCCCTGTTGACCGAGGTTGTAAACCCCAGTCAGTGTGTCCTGGTGAGAGGGAGAGGGCTGTGCTTCCTGTTCTCAGATCCCCTTGGGGAAGAAGGACACATGTTCGGTGGGGGTCTGAAGGCCTTGGGAGCACCCAGGCCTTCCCCGCCGTGACCGTTCCTGCAAGTCTCCAGTGGGTGTGTGTGTTCCCATTGAAGACCGCCGCTGTAGACCACAGCATGAAGAGAAGGCAAGGCTGAGACGGGAGTTCTGAGTGTAAGTTCATGAGCAAACTCTCCTATTTGTTAATAAGACACCACTTCTTATCTTGGTTCCACAGCCAGTGGTGACTTGTCATCGTAATCTGAAAAATGTTGGAGGTAACGGTAGCTGGTCCACCTCACAGAATTGCTGAGAAGATAATTGAAATGGAAGAGTTTTACACAGATGCATATTACTAGGCATCTAATCCTGGCAGTTTAAGAGGATTTTATCATCAGTTTTGGTTTAGAAAGGTACAATTTTATTTTAAGTGAGCTTGCAGATGATTACTTATCTGAAATAATTTCCTACTGGGGTTAAGCATGTGAAGAATGTACCTAGAAAACACAGACAGTAAGCCTCAGAAAGCAAGCCGAGTATTAAATTACCAGAGAAAAGGCGACATTTTGCTTTTGAAAATATCAATGAGCACCAAATATAAAAACCCAAGCAGTAGAATTGGCTTCACCCAGCGGTACTTCAAGTGGCCAACTGACTAGTGCAAGGGCACAGGAGTGCTTTTTTGTAGCAAGACTTAGCAAGAGTGAACTTTATAAAGAATCTGGTCTGCCGTTTTTGAGTTGTGAGCATTCAGATGCCCCCTAAATAAATTCTTTACACCCACAAAATATTCTTTAATGAAGAAATAATCAGAATTTTTCATACTTCATATTTAAATAAAACGAATTGATCATAAAAGCAAAAATGGCTCAAGTACTGGGGTAACATCACAGGCATCCCACCGGGTGTGGCCTGCCTGGTGGTGCTTTCTGCACCAGGGTTAGAGGTGAGGACACACGTTTCCCAGACTCCTTTGCTGCAGGGCTCTGTGTAGACTGGTGACAGCTCAGAGGACAGGAGGGAGTGGGGATTCTCCTGCAGGACTTGGCGGAGGCTCCAGCGCCACTCCTGGCGGAGGAACGGTAGTTGGTGGTCAGTCAAGGGAGATGACCACACAGGTGTGGTGGGCTTTGAAACTGGCCATCCAGCAGGGCAGGGCTGACCACCACGCAGGAGAGATGTCTTTCCTGATATTTTCCCTCTCCTTTTCCAGCCTTTCCAAAGTAGCTCGGATGTAGATCCTTTTATTAAATCTTTTTCCATTTGTAATACCTAGCCTGGTTTCCTTTTAATGACTGGGATCATGCCAACTTTCAAGAATATAAAATAAATGAACTTAAACAAAGTATGCGTTTTTAAAGACATGCACACAAATTCACATGCACACTTATGTTTCCAATGCAGAGAGCACAGAAGCAGCAAGGATTCAGGAGCTTGGGTTTGACTCTGGCTTGTGTGATTAGGGGACAGATCCCTGCCTCTTAGGGCTTCCTAATCATCTCTGAACTCAACTCCTGCTGCTGCAACAGTTGGAGCCTGTGATGTGGTAATCACATTTAAAGAGAGGTGAGCTGGCACCGAAGCCCATAGGTTTCCTAAGCTAAGGCCTTTTCCAAAAATAAACGACTACAGGCTTATTGTTCCTGGGAGACCTAAAACCTGCCTCCTGTCAATGGGCGGTCACTGTGGATTGTTGAGAATTCAAGTCTGAGTCAGAGGCACTGAAGTTTATTTTTCTTTTAAGGCAATCGATGTAGAACAAGTGAGGCACCTCTGATTTTTTTTTTTTTCCCAAAGGGTACACATGCAAAAACATTTAAAATTTTCAAATGTCCATAAATCCATGTGTACCCATTCTGTTACTCATTAATCTTCAAAGTCACTCTTACACAAAGAGAATAGCTCTCCTTGGCATGAATAGAAAGTCAGTCTGATAAAAGACTCAAGCAGCTGTTCGTGTAATGCCAAGAGGATTACATTGCCTGGTTTTGCTGAAAGCACAAGCAACTCTAGCCAAATTAGGTACTTTTGAAGGGTTTCCAACTAAGGGCTTTTCTTAGAGTTTGCCAGTTAAATTGAAATAGACATTATGTTAATTTGATTTTAATGATAAGAGCTGGGGCAAGCTATTCTTAGATATATGTCAAAGTTGTGATTTCTAAATTATTCTTAAAACTAAAGCAACAAATATATCCAGTTCACCAAGGTCAAAGGTAGGGAACAAAAGGCTTAGAAGCTCAGGTGCAGGCCTTGCCTGCTCCTCACATGCCCAGGAATGAACTCTGATGACATCATCTGGGTTTTCCATAAAGGTCTTGTTTGGTCTCTGAACCAGACTTTTACTTGTGAGATTGGAAGATTAGAGAGGATCACAGTATTTGACTTTAATTCTGAGCCATGAGAAATAGCACCTGTTCGTTACGTGTGTTGTTTGTGGGGAAAGGGGAAGTCTCTGAAGTCAAGTCAATGGTCCAAGGAGGAGCTGTGCTATGGTGAAATGTGGTTTATTCCCCTAAGGTTTATGTGCTTGGTTTGGGATTAGGGTGATGGTGTTGAGAGGTGGTGTAATCTTTAAGATGTGGGGCCCCGTGCCAGATGATTGGGTAACTGGGGCACACCCTTGGAAAAAACCAGCGTGGTTCTCTTACAACCACAGTTAGCTCCCTCAAAAGTGGGTTCTATAAAGAGAGTGAGGCTGACCCCTGAAGTCTGGGTTCCTGACTTGCCACCTCCACACACGTCCCCACCATCGTGATGCCACCCACCCTGCGGCCCTCGCCAGACACCAGGCAGAGCTGCTCATCTTAGACTTTCAGCCCCCAAACTGTGAGCTAAATAAAGCCATTTCCCTTATAAGTGCCTAGCTTATAAGTGTATTTTGTTACAGCAACAGAGAATGAACTAAGACAAGTTATAAATGGAACTGTTCCTAATCAGGTCTTAGCTTGAAATCAACAGCCATTAAATTCTTCACCGAGTTTAAAAATATCAATACCAGCTTGGGTTTGAATGTCAGGTATGCTGTGCCTCTGGCTATATTTGAAATGGTTGAATCCGTTAATGTTGACTTCCATGGGCATGTTCCATCTTTATTCAATAGTAAGGCACCATGACAGAGCTTGGTGGTTAAAAATTATCATCATCATTAAAAAAATCGTTTGGGTTGGGTCTCCATGAGGGGAAAGTTTCTCATTCTTAATTTTAGTCATAATAAAAAACATCTTTAACAGGCTTTGATGGCATATTTTGGGCATCTTCATTTAATATCAACAAGTTAATGCTGTTCTTTTAGGTATGAACCATCATGATGAGTGGCAGGTATAAAACCTGACCACAGGTATTTCTAGATAAGTCTAATTTGGTGCGATCCGCATTACATAGATGAGGCCTGGAGAAATACCAGCGCAATGCATGCCCAGTTTCCACTCTTTTTACATAGGGTGGGAGCCAAGAGAATTCATGGGAAGCGGATGTAGGAAACTATATCTAAATGACTATCTAAACACGAGAGGGACTCAGAGAGAGAAATGACTGGTGGCAGGGTTGGAGTCGTGGCTCAGAGGTAGAGGGCTGGCCTGGCATGTGAGACCCTGGGTTCGATCCTTAGCACCACATAGAAATAAATGAAAATAAAAAGATCCACTGAGGGTGGGAGGTAAACAGATCCTGCAGGAGTGGGGCCCAGGGGAGGCTCTGTGGGCAGCACTCGGGGCTGTGCAGTGCAGGGCTTTGGGCTGAGAAGTCCCCCGCCCCACCTTTGGTGAGAAGGGAGGGGAGGTCCAGGGCTGGGACAGTAAGCTTCTCACCCAGGAACCCAAAGGCACCAAGAGAGCTCAGGACCGAGGGAGGGTCAAGCTCAAGGG